ATTTGCCTGTGTTTGGCCCACTAAATCCCTCTAAATCATTTCTATCTATATACTGTCCAAATGTCTTTTAAATTTGTAAGTGTACCTGCCTCTACCACTTCCTCTGGCAACCGGTTCCATATACGCACCATCTTCTGTGTGAAGAAGTTGCCCCACAGGTCCATTTTAAATCTTTGCCCTCTCATCTTAAGCCTACGTCCTCTAGTTTTGGACTCCCTTACCTTGGGGTAAAGACTTTGGCTGTTCACCTTATCTATGCACCTCATGATTTTATAAGCCCCTATAAGGTCACCCCTCAGCCTTCTACACCACTGAGAATAAAGTCCCATCCTCTCCTTATAACTCAAACCTTACCGTCTCAGTATCATCCTTGTAAATCGTTTTTGCACCCTTTCAAGTTTAATAACATCCTTCCTATAGCAGGGTGACCAGAATTCTACACAGTACTCCAAATGTGCCTTAGTAATGTTTGAACAGGGGTAACATGATGTCCCAACTTCTGTACTCAATGCGCTGACCGATGAAGGCAACCATACTAACTGCCTTCTTCACCACCCTGTCTACCTGTGATGCCACATTTAAGGAACTATGTATCTGCACACCTAGGTTTCTCTGTTTGACAACACCCCCTAGGATCCTACATTAACTGAGGGGCCCTGTCTCTTTCTCTACCGTTTAAGCCCTAGTGGGTAATGGGAAGAGTACAGGGAGAAAGTAATGTTGGCAAAGTGAGGTTATGTTAGATTAGAAAAAGTAACAACTTGGTCAAAACAGGATAGAAATAGTGGAAAGTTTCATAGTCACCTTGAAATGAATCTGTCACTTTGGATAGTAATATCAAAAATTGATTTATTTCCCAAGCAAATTCTTTCATTCTAACTTCCCTGATCTTCACAATGATTGAATATTGCAGAAATGGAAGATATATACTGGTTCCTTTATTCAAATAAAAAAATTATCTCGATCACAACTCAAGTATTTGACAGGTAACACTCATGTAACAAACAAAAAACAAATTAAAACAAAACATGATAGATGGCAAGCACCTGACACTTTCTGATGAGTCATTGCCTGTTAAATGAGAACTAAAAAGCCACTTTCAAACAATATAGATTTCATTTTAAAAGGCCAACTAGAAATTCCTGACAGTCCCATTATACAGGAGCTGTTAAAAGAGTGGTGCACTCAATAGGAAATGTCAGTGAGGAGGAGGATCAAATTGTAGCACTAACAGGCTTTAAATGAAACAGCACAATAAGCACTTAGCCTACAAGAGGTAGAAAAAGTGCAAAAGAAATAACTGCTTAACATGGAGTCCATATCATCTGATTTTTTTTTGGTTTTATTTTATCCAGGTTTTTAAATATACAACATGAAGTAAAGATGCACTGATTACAAATCTCTAAGTCTCCAATGTGATTGCAGTCATTCTTTTAATTTTATTTTATACATTGCAATCCTCATGAATCCATCACTTACTCTCACCTACATTTCAGAAATTATCTTTCACTTTCCACTGTAGCTGGCACAATTAGCACTTATGACGTTTATATCTAAAAGCAGTTATGCTTCTATACAATCCAACTGACTTTGTGAAGTATTATACACCAATTGACTTCAGTCCTGACAATCACAGATGAAGGTTAAAAATTATACAATCTTAGCAGTTTAGCAGTCAGCTGCCTCACTGTATATTCCAGGCACTGCAATGTCATGTTAATGGACATCCCACTGTTCATCATTGGCAGCTTCAGTTAAGACCAATTGTGCCCAATCCCTGGAATATATCAAGTCAAGGGCATGGATGCAGGTAAGGTGATAGGGTGACAAGTGGATGCAAGTCTAAAGGTGGGTGAGGTGTGCCAGGCTGGTAAATGGGTTAGGTGTAACACGCTGGTAGATGGGTTGGGAGTTGAGGGGAAATTGTGTTAGATCTGGGGCAATGGAGGGGTAGAGATTTGGGTGGTGAGTTTGGTGAGCTCAAGGTTGGGAACGTAGTGTTGGGAGGGCTGGGGTGTCAGGTGAAGCAGGATTGAGGGTCCCCATTGGGGAGTGGAGAGGTGTTGTGAAGAATATGAAGCGGGGTGTCAAGCAAGGTCTGAGCCATGGTTATATGGTGGTAACGGTTAAATTCTCATGGGTACATAGTAGTTACAGCATATTTTAATCCCTCTGACCTTCCTTGGCTGATTGTCTAGGCAAATGAGTTGAACTCCCTACAAGTCTCTAATTCAAGAGCTGGAAATTCTTTTTGGGTTGGGTAATTGGGTAATTTTACTTGAGAAAGGATGTATTGGCACTGGAGGGGGTGCAAACGAGGTTCACTAGGTTGATTCCGGAGTTGAGGGGGTTGGCTTATGAGGAGAGACTGAGTAGATTGGGATTATATTCATTGAAATTCAGAAGATTGAGGGGGGATCTTATAGAAACATATAAAATTATGAAGGGAATAGATAAGATAGAAATAGAGAGGATGTTTCTACTGGCAGATGAAGCTAGGACAAGAGGGCATAGCCTCAAGATTAGAGGGAGCAGATTTAGGACTGAATTGAGAAGGAATTTCTTCACCCAGAGGGTTGTTAATCTATGGAATTCCTTGCCCAGTGAAGTAGTTGATGCTACTTCAGTAAACGTTTTTAAAGAAAAGGTAGATTTTTTTTGAACAATAAAGGAATTAAGGGTTACGGTGAGAACGCGGGTAAGTGGATCTGAGTCCACGAAAAGATCAGCCATGATCTTATTGAATGGCGGAGCAGGCTCGAAGGGCCAGACGGCCTGCTCCTGCTCCTAGTTCTTATGTTCTTATGTTCTAATTGCCTATCAGAAGACCATGATAAATAGGAATGGGAATAGGCTGTTTGGTCCTTCAAGCATGCTCTGCCATTCAATACGATCATGGTTGCTCCGACACTCCTTACTTCAGCTTTTCTCCATGACCCTTGATGTGCCTACTGATCAATAATCTATCCCCGCCTTAAATATACACAACGACGCTGCTCCACAGGTCTCTCTCTGTGGCAAGGAGTTCGAAAGACACTTAATCCTGAGAAGAGAAATTCCTCCTCATCTTAGTCTTAAATTGGTGACCTTTTGTTGTGAGACTATGTCCTCTGCTCCTAGACTCACCCATGAGAGGAAACATCCTCTCAACATTTATCCTGTAAAGCCCCTTAAGAATTCCATACATTTCAATGAGAAGTTTAAACTTTCTAGGCAGTTCCTGTGTGGGACTCACAGGGTTTCCCATAATGCATCTTTCAACGTACGTTGCTTCAATGACTAACCTGCAATTGGAAGATCTGGAACTTCCTTTCAAGGTTTAATTGAGTCCTCTAATGTCTTAATTTAAAGTTTCAGTGTGAAAGTTTTGTCCAACATAATGTTTCAAATTATGAATTGATGTGAACTCAGTTGGAACAATTGTAGATAAATGGCTAAAGGTATACACATGCATTAAGTTATTAGAAAAGATCACTGCTACAGACAATATGGATGAGTTTCAAGAAAAATCAAACTGGTGGTGCAGTGAATTGAAGGATGTAGTGACAGGAAGGAAAGGTGTTATTGAGATAACCAAAATGGCTTGCTTGGTCAACTGATCTGTTCCCAAAACATTCTGTTATTCTACTTGCAAAGGTCATCCTTAGCCATTCTTTAAAGACTCTTTGTAATCAGTAGTGGAATGACAAACAGCATTGCTAATCAACTCCTTTGGTTGAAATATTTCATCTTTAAGATCATTAGCTGAAACCAGGATCAAAATTGGCCAATTACCTAGAAGGGTGTTAGCTATTAATTCTGAATGAAACATCTCTAAGTTGCATTCTCAAGTTGATGTGAAATGCAATAAATACCTATTTTATACTAAATTATTTCAGGTCCTGCTATTAAATACCAAAAATCATAGCACGATAGATCTGTGAAAATGCTGTTTTATTTATATGATTGCATGAATGTATTATATTTTGAATAAATTGATTGGATTTGATACTGATGAAGGAGTTTGGAAATAGCATACTCATTGAAGTAACAAGAAGATAAATGAATTAAATCACTCACTTCATAGAATCTGGTAACAGCAGTTTTTTTTTGGGAGCAAGTCTTGGCAATACTTGCACAATATAGGGTAAATGTGAACCGAAAGAACTGCGGATGCTGTAAATCAGGAACAAAAACAAAGTTGCTGGAAAAGCTCAGCAAGTCTGGCAGGAACAATGAAGGAAAAGACAGAGTTAACGACCGGACCCGAAACGTTAACTCTGTTTTTTCCTTCACAGATGCTGCCAGACCTGCTGAGCTTTTCCAGCAACTTCTGTTGTTGTTCATAAGGTAAATGTAGTTGTCCTCACAATTGCTCAAAGTGCTATATCAATACCTCGGCAAGGTCTGAAAGGAAGGAACAGCTGTTGAGGGAAGAAGGGTCCAAACCCGAAACGTCAGGTTTCCTGCTCCTCTGATGCTGCTTGACCTGCTGTGTTCATCCAGCTCTACACCTTGTCATCAACAGCTCTTGAGTTCATTTTTACAGTGTTGTCTTTCTTGTTAAACGTTTTGTAAGCTTTGTGCCGATTTACACACATCCCTAGCAGGAACTGTGTGAGCAATAATCAATTGTGGATACTGCTTACCAAGCTGCTGGCTAGGCTATGTCACAATTAAAGGAAAGTTGGGTCACAATGAGAAAGCAGAAAATTTCCTGTGATGATGCTACATCTTATCCTTTCCCCAGGCACATCCCACTGTTCCTTACATTGCTATACAGTAACTAAGTTGATGTCTGATTTTTGAAGTGTGAAAATCAGACTAGACTATTCCAAAGGCATTACCTTAAACTTTCAACAAAGGCTGTATAACAAACTGTTAACAGTTTCAAAGGTGCCATTAGCAGCAACCCTGTAATACAAGCAAACATAAATTTCTGTTGACTGTATCATTTAAAGACAAAGCTATCTTCTTTATTCACCTTTCAACTTAACTCTGACATGGCATTTGAAACTTACTGCTTGGGCTTGGCATTCCAGGGTAAGCATCTGTGTCTTCCAACTCCAAGGTGACCAGACCAAGGTTGGGGTGGTGATGCCTTCCTGCAGTTTTTCCAGTGAATGGTGTTCCTCCGTTCTCTTCTATGGTGAACTGCTGTAGATCGGTGCTGTTTAATAATGGTGCTATCAAAGGATGGCTGCAATTTCATGTACATTAAAGTCAAGAAAACTTCATGAGAAATAAAAATAGCACCTGTTAATTTCTTTTTAAAAACACAGCTGTTGATAGCCATATATAAACTTAAACAAGACATCCTTTGCAAGACTATGAACCAAGCCTTTCAGTTTATCCTAACTTATTTTCATTACATTTCAATGAGCAGTACTAACTTGAGCAAAGGCATTCATAGATGGGACAAGCCCAAATTAGATAGCACTTTGTTCTGAATCATCTCATGCACCAGCAAGGAACCTTTCTGGGAAAAAAAAACTTGACATGGAAGATGCATCTAGTAACAAGACGTGACATAGTGGCGGCAGGTTTAAAACAGATGAGCAGATTTGATTAATATAAATTGTAAAATATTAGAACAATATTTGTAGTGATACTAAAACATTCAAGAGAATTACATCATGTTTCCTTTTGAAACCTGGTGTTGTGCATAGAGAAAAAAACACAATTACATTGAAATATTGCCTTTCACAACCTCAGGAACTCCCTAAGTGTTTTACAACCAATTAAGCACATTTGAGATTATAGTCATTGTTGCAATGTAGGAAGCACAGCAGTTAATTTGTGCAAAATGAGGTAATGACCAACTAAGTGTTTATTGTTTAAAATGTTATTGATTGAGGAAAAACATGTCGGCCAGGGCACTCAGGAGAGTTCGCCTGCTTCATGTCCACTAGGAACTGGTTTAGCATCTTCATCCAAAAGATGGCTGCTTCAACATTCCCTCAGTAAAGCACAGAAGTGTCAAAGAGCTGACATGCACAATGGACAGAATGACCTCCTTCTGTGCTTTGTTAATCTAGCGTTATATGAATTAAGTTCTTTGAAGTTTTATTTTGTGGCCTGGAATTTGCAGTTGCAATGATACTGAAACCATCAGCCCTTGCCATTGTGACAGTGTCTCTGTACATGGACAATTAAACAAAGAAATCAAGAAGCTGCTATCAATGACATCCCGCTGCTCCACAGGCTGTGCTGCTGAAGCCTTTGCAGCTGCAATCAACAAAGTATCAGTGATTTCTTATGCTCCTCAATGTGTTTTTTGTCTTTACTGATGAATGGGATGTGAACGTCAATGACACCTTTTGTTACACATCCCGAATGGCCCTTGAACTGAATGGCTTGCTAGCTATTTCAGAAGGCTGTTCAGCATCAACTACACTGCTGATAATCACAGGTAGGCCAGACTGAGTAAGGATAGGATTTCCTGGACTTCTACAACAATTAATGATACTTCATAGTCACCATTATTCAGAGTAGCTGTTCTTTCCAGATTGTTATTCGTTGAATTAAAATTCCATCAGCTCTCATGTGACAAAAAACCGAAAGGACTGTGGATGCTGGAAACCTGAAACAAAAACCAGAAATTGCTGGAAAATCTTCACAGGTCTGGCAGCATCTGTGGAGTGAAATCAATGTTAATGTTTTGGGTCCAGTGACCCTTCTTCAGAATGGAACCCTTCTTCTTCCATTCTGATTTTCCAGCAATTTCTGTTTTTAGCTTTCATGTGAACTCTAGATTACTAGGAAAGTGGCATTACCATTACATCACCCTCTTCCTTCAATCTTATGCACTACATTCTCTGCAAGCCTTGTTTGGTCAGGAGGAAGTGAACTCCTAACAGCACGCTAACTCATAAGTACAATTGAACAACCTCTCTAACAAAAGTAGGGACGCAATACTGAACTGTTCTTTTATTGTTCACTTAGAATCCCTACAGTTTGGAAGCAGGCCATTTGGCCCATCGAGTCTACACTGAAGAGCATCCCACCTGGACCCACTCCCGACCCTATCCCTGCACTTCCCATCCTAGACACTACGGACAATTTAGCATGGCCAATCCACCTAACGTGCACATCTTTGGACTGTGGGAGGAAGTTGGAGCACCTGGACGAAACCCACGCAGACACAGGAAGAATGCGCAAACTCCACGCACACAGTTGCCCGAGGCCAGAATCAAACTCGGGTCCCTGGTGCTGTGAGGCAGCAGTGCTAATCACTGAGCCACCGTGCCGCCCCACTTGTGGGATGTGGGCATTACTGCCTGTCTCAACATTTATTGCCCAGCCCTGGTTGCGACTCGAGAAGATAGCAGTGCGCTGCCTTCTTGAAAAGCTGCAGTCCACTGCTGTAAATAGACTCACAATGCTGTCAGAGAGGGAATTCCAGGATTATAATGCAAAAACACTGAAGAAATGGTGATATATTTCCAACTCAGGATGAGAGGCTAGGTGGGAACTTGCAGATGGCGGTGTTCCCATGTGTCTGTTGCCCTTGGCCTTCTAGACAGTAATGATCATGGGTTTGGAAACTGCTGTCTAAGGATTTTGGTGAATTTCTTCAGTGTGTTCTGTCGTTGGTACACACTGCTGCTGCTGAGCATCAAAGTGATTTGAGTGTTCTCAACCGGAACCACAAAAAGCTAGTATCCAAGCTCAGAGGAAAGTAAGGAAAGCAAATGGAATTATTTGAAAGGGAACGGAGTATAAATGTACAGAGGTTTTGCTAAAACTACATGAGGCACCAGTCAGACCACAGCTGGAATACTGTGAATAATTCCGGTACCCCATATCCATGGAAAGATGTTTTGTCATTGGAGGCAATGCACAGAAGGTTCACTAGGCCATTACCAGGCATGGAGGAACTATCTTATGTACTCATTGGAATTTAGAAGAACAAGAGGCAACCTTACTGAAAAGCACAAGATTCTTCGAAGACCTGACAGGATAGATGCAGAAAGGTGTTTCCCGTTGTGGAAGAGTCTAGAGCCAAGGGGCATAAGGGATTTCCTATTTAAGACCAAGATGAGGAGGTGAACCTGTGGAATTCTTTACCACAAAGGCTGCTGCAGCTGGGTTGTCAAGTATATTGAAGGCTGAGTTAGATGTATTTTTAATCAGTAAGGGAATCAAAGGCTATTGGGAAAAGGCAGGATGAAGAATTGAGAATTATCAGATCAGCAATGATTTCATCAAATGGCAGAGCTGCTTCGACAGGCTAAATGTCCAACTTCTCCTGCAACTTTTTTTTTTTAATTCACTCATGGAACATGGGCTTTGCTGGCTGGGCTAGCATTTATTGCCTGACCCTCATGCTCTTGAGAAGGGATGGTGATTTATCTACTTGAACTGCTGCAGTCCATGTGTTACATAGGTACATCCACAATGCCATTAGGGAGAGAATTCGTACAGCCTCAACATATGTAAACAAAAAAAAACTATTCTCATAAGCTGATGGTGCAGAAATAATGGGAACAGATTTAAGGCTTTGGGCAATAGGTACTGCAAGGATGGGGTGTGGGTTGGTAGAGAGAGTATGTGGAAGCACTTTCAATACAGCCAGTGGTAATGAACCTAGAAATAATTGCCTTAGAAGGAAGCACACATGATGAACAAGTTCAAAAGGAAGTTTGATGGTATTTGAGGAAAATAAATTTGTAGGGTTAAATGGATAGTGTAGTAATGGCACTGATTAGAATCCTCTACAGAGAATGGGCCTAGTAGCAGCCTCCTATGCCATAATGATTCAAAGAAAATGAAGGAAATTCATATGGTCATGTTAATCAAATCTTTGTGGAAAACGATTTGAGGTCACTGACCATAAAAATCAAGCCAATCCTTGCACAACTCTGGTGTCAAACAAAATGTGACATCAAGTTGCCTACCCTGTCACTCTTTCCTCTCGTAAATACAGAGGGATGCAATTTTTCCACAATGATTTAAAAATAATTCCCATTATGCAAGGCTCCAGACGACTGTACATAATGGATGAACCACTATCGAAGTTACCTGGGGTCACTGAAGTGTCATGAGGATCTACAGCATGGATGGTTAGTGGGGGAGAGAGGAAAGGACAAATTTTAAAAAGGACCTTTAAATGATATCAGATGCCAGGGATCTGGGTTTGATTCCACCCTCGGGCGACTGGAGTTTGCACATTCTCCCCGTGTCTGTGTGGGGTTCCCCTGGGTGCTCCGGTTTCCTCCCACTGTCCAAGGATGTGCAGGCTAGGTGGATTGGCGATGCTAAATTGTCCGTAGTGTGTTTAGATTAGGTGGGTTAGATATGGGAAATGCAGGGTAGGGGTAGGGGAAAGGGTCTGGGTGGGATGCTCTTCGGAGGACAAATGTGGACTTGTTGGGCCTAATGGCCTGTTTCCACACTGTAGGGATTCTATGATTCTGTGATGTTAGGTTGACATGTTGGAGAACAGAGGCGGCCGTAAGTGGCCACACCCATACTCCTCGTACACACTATTCTGGCTTATAAAATGCACTGTGAACACGATCCCTGTGTGAAAAGGAAAAAAATCTTAGACAAATTCAAGCTTGGGGTGGGGTGTGCATTTGGGAAGACATGAACATGCGCAATTTGTGTTTGCCTAAGTTCATACAAAATTGTTTTAAAAAATTCATTCAGGGCATGTGGGCTTTGCAACATTTATTATCTGTGCATTATGGTAGTAAAAAGAGTACAATATGTTAGAAGTCGCACTTTAAAAGATTCTGATTGAAAGGTGGCTCAGTGTCAAAGAACCATTCATGATAAACCATAAAGCATCATATGAAGTGTGTGGCTAAGAAACATGTAAGCTGTTCTGTTGCAACTTATTTTGTAGTTACGTCTTTGTCCTTGTCCTATGTAAGCTTTTGCTGAAAAGCTACTCTGTTGAATGTTGAAATGTTATTCTTAATACTCGAAAACTTGGAACAGAACCATGTGTAGTTTTAAATTTGATTTGTATTTTTATCCTGTAACATGCGTGTAAAAACGGGGAGATATGGCTTTAAGAAGAACATAATCATGTGAAGAAATCTGACCTGACCCCAAGTGGACATTTCTCATCCTTTTAGGTCCACCTCCACACACTGTCAAAGAAACAAAACCTGTCCCCTGTATAACTGGGGACAAGTCATTAATACATACTAAAAAGTGCAATTACTCATTAGTGAGTCTGGAAGACAC